AGCGACTAAAAAGGATGATAAAAAGAAAATCTTTTTTTTAATTATGGTCAATAATAATCAAATGTGAGAAGATGAATTTTATTATGGTCAACAAAAATAAAATCTTTTTTTTTAAATCCTAATTGTCTCTAATTGTGAAGCTAGCTAAAGAGGGTGGAATTGAAAACTAGAAAGAAGACTTACCCGAAAGCAATGCTCCAAATTCTTGATCTTCAATCCAAGATTTTCAAGCTCCAAGCGGTTCCTTCACAAGAAAAATACACAAGTTAAAGAATCAAGTTAATAAAATCCTATTTTAGCACCTTCCCCGGCAACGGCGCCAAAAACTTGATGCGGCATAATTATGTACCAAAATTGCAAGTGCACAATTTATCAAGTTATAGTATAAAAAGATATCGATCCCACGAAGAAGGTGATTTTAAGAGATTATTAAACTTGGTTCTTATATTTTGTGCGTGACAATTAGGAATAAAGAATAAGTGTGATTGTATGAGTGGTTGTTTTGATTTATATGCAAGAGGTAATAAATTGAATTTTAGAGGAGAGAAGGAAGAATTAAAGAATAAATGAAATCACAAGGCAAGAAATATGAATTAATAAAATCAAGAAATAAAACCAAAAATGAAAAGAAAATTTAAGAAAGTTAAGATGAAGGATTCAAAAGAGGTAAGAAATCTAGAATATAATCCACTAACCAATTTCAATTACAAAATATAAACTATTCTCTTTTTATCATATTTCAACTTAGATTTATTAAGCATAGATTATCAAACCATTTAAGGAAAGTGTAACCTATCAAATTATCATCTAAGCTAAAATTACTATTCATGATAAGAACAACAACATGATAATAATCCTAGAATTCATAAGCATAACCTATCAAACCATTTAAGATAAGCATAGATTATCAAATTCTTCTTCTACCGATTAGTTCTCTAGTTGATTATCCTAACATGAACATTTTAAGTACAAGAGAATAATTCATACAATATAAAAGAAATTAGACTAGTTTCATACAATTCTAAGATTCCTACAAGAATTAAATTCACATCTTAAGAAATAAAAACAAGAAAAAGAAGACTAATTACAAAATTAAAAAGAAAAGAAAAATCTAAACTATGAACAAGAAATAAATCTAATTACAAAGAAAATAAAAATCTAAACTACAAAATAAATTGCAGAAATTAAATGCAAGAAAAATAAATCTACTCTACAAATTAAAGTGCAAAAAGAAAATAAAAAAGACAAGAAAGTAAATCTATACTACAAGCATGAATTTAAATCTAACTAATAAGCAATAATAAAGAAATTACTAAAAAGAAATAAAAGAGAAAAGAAATGCAAACCTTCAAATTGCTCTTCATCTCCATCCTCATCATTCCACAAAGAGGAGAAAGAACAAATTTAAAGAGGAAAAAATTATTTTTATTAATTGCAACTAAAGTTACAATTTTTGGAAGGCCTTCTCAATTAAGAGTAGCCCTCCTCTCCAAAAGGAGTTTACAAAATTTTCACACCTCTAACCCCTCACTCTATACCCCTATTTATAGTAAACATCAGTGAATGAGAGCCATTGGATTCAAATCTTATCCAAAACCAACAAAAATCAGCCATTGGATTGTAACTGCCTGGACGTCCGTATCGATAACCGCATCGATAGGGGTATCGATGCGGGCATCGATACAGGCATCGATGCGGGCATCGATGCAGGCATCGATGCCTGCTCTTCTCCTGTTGCTGTCCGCAGAACTCTTGTATTTTGCTTTTGGGCTTGTGTCTTGGGCTTTGGCTTGGACTTTTGGGCTTGGCATTTTCTCTTGATTTTCCATTGGGCTTTGAATTATTTGAAAGAATTCCTTTGGCTTCATGGGCTTCATTTCTTCATTAAATCAAGGGGTTTTTTTGTTGAGATATTGGAGTTTGAGATTTATTCATCATTAACCTGCAATTAACAGATAAAAGCAATTATTAGTGGTATATTTATTCATATAAAATAGATAATGAGGGTATAAAAATTATAATAAAATGTGATTATCATGGGTCTCAGCAAGTGAGGCATTTGGTGTAGTCGGTGTAGGCTCAGTTTGATTGGTGAGTAGACACTATTTGGTTTGGGTTGAGTGTTCACACTCCCATTTGGGTCTCGACCTGTTGTGGATGGAGTCCGTTGTCATGAGTCCGTTGTCATGACGTACTGGACGCAACAAGTAAGACATTTGGTTTGGTCGGTGTCGTCTCAGTTTTGGAAAAACTTCACCGAGGTGGAGAATTGCGAGTAGGGACCACGAGCCCACGTGCTGCACAAAGGAATTTTGTTTTCGCGGTTTTGATTTGTTCCGCATGATTGGTTTCGTTTTCGCATGATGAAGGCCCACCCGCTTCCTTCGTTAGCAGACTATAAATACCCATGTATTATTTTAGGGCTTTGTGCGAAGGAGGTGCAGGAATTGAGGGGTGGCGGCTAATTAGTGTGCGGCTGCATAGAAAAGTTGGGCGGATGTGGCTGATTCGTGCGCAGTACAGCAAAGGTTTTTACGGTTGATTTATGTGCAAAGAACAGAGATTTTGGTGGCTAGAGAAGAAGCAAAGTCTTTTTGTATTTGTTCTTTGATTTGTGCATCCCTTTGAGAGAGATATTTGTTTGAGGGATCTGAGAGTTTGTTTGAGGGTTTAGATTGAGTGATTGTAAACCCCAGTTGTATCTCTCCCTCTAATAGTAGATCCCCCCCTCCTTGCCCCGTGGACGTAGGCTATTTGCCGAACCACGTAAAAGTTGTGTTCTTGCCGTGATTTGTAATAGCTTGTAGGTTCCCTCGACGCGCAGTCCTAGAGCTGACGAGAGGAAGAGCTGATATCTCACTTTGATGAGATATCTGACTTTTGGTTCTTGTTTCCTTTGAGAAACGAGAATTTAATTGTGATCTAATCTCTTGTTGTGCACCTAGCGCACCGGAGGTGCTGCCCAAATTTCCGCTGCGCACAACAGTTTAGTGGCAAAGGCATTTGTAAAAGTAAAACTATCATACCTTTACATAATTAAAAAAATTTAAACTGCATAGATTTACTTAGACAAGTTTCTGGTCACATTTAAAAAGTTATTAGTTGTTCCACCCAGTTTAATCTAGGTCTCTAGAAGAATCAATGACAATGACTGTAAGACATTGATTCAAGAAGTGCAACTCTACTCAACTAATTGTCATTTTCTTTTCCGTTTGTAAATACATTTAGAGTAAATGATAGATACGTCTGACCAACTTCTAGTTATTGTTCCCTCAAATTCTTCGTAAAGAGATGCATTTTTGAAGAGTAAACTAATATTTTGGGAAAATTAATTAAATCTCTTCTACTTACTGGGACTATGTTAGTGTTTTCCTTTGAGGACCAAACAAATCTTAACGTCAAATTTGATCACTAATTCTCCTTTCCCTGCACTTTAAACTTGTACCTAAGCTACGCGTGTCATGAAATTAGCTTTTCTTGTTTACCTAAATACATATAAGACTTCTAGAAGTGCAAACATGGAGCTCGATCTCTCATCACTCAAATAAAAAAACAGAACACAACGATATGGGGATCACTATCCGTGTATATCTCCAGTGATGCATGTGCAAAGTCCTTCTAGAAACCATAACAAGATAATATTGAAAACGCTTGAAATTACAATATGTCATGCATGAAGACAAAGAACCCACCAAGCATAAACCTAAAAAAGTTTTGTAATTTTTTTTTCAAGAAAATGTGAAGATAAAAGACCAAAAAAATTATGAAACATCCCAAACAGGTTCTCCCAATAAAATAAAATAAATAAATAAATAAAATCAGTTGATAGAAAGATATTCTAATAAAGATGACTGATTTGAGAAATATATCTGTATAAAGTCTAAAATTCAGTTCATTGAAAACTCAGTCCCGGCGACTTTGAGTCAATTAGCAAACTTTAAAGTCTCAACTAGCAATCATTTTCCTTTCTTTTTTTTACAAATGTAGCATAGAAAAGATGACTCTTGAGTTTGCAAAAACTAGCCTTGTTACCAAATATTACTTCACGTACGTTCCCTCAAATGCGCCAACAAAAAGATGCGTGTTTGGAGGGTAAACCTTCATTTTGAGAAAATCAAGTCTCCTGTACTTACTTGGAATTGCATTATCTTTTGCTAAAGAGACACGGACATTAAAATTGATCGCTTTTAATTTTCCAAACTTTTATAATTACCACATATGTAAGCTCTTTTCATGTTCAACTAATGACACACATAACTTCTAGAGAAGTGCAATAATGGGCCTATACACCTCACTCAAACCGGCCCTACTCCAAAACAAAACAAGCAAAACTTATGTGCGGATCACTATCACTCTCGTGACCCATGTACTAGAATGCATCAAATGGCTTGCTTGTGACTAGGGGTGCATTCGGTCCGGATACGGCTCGAATATGATGCATACTATATTCATATCCGCTTACCCATCTCGGATATAGATATACATTGGTAAAGAAATTTTATATAACCATATCCGCTAAAATCGGATACGATTACGGATATACATGCAGATATATAAGCGAATATGCATGCAGATGCAAAACATATATGAGAAAACTAGATAGTATTGAGAAAAACATAGTTCATGTGATACAAAAGAGTTCATTAATATGTCCATTATAACTAAAAAGTTAAGATTAGACATCTTGATCATCAAAATTAACCACAAATCCATTCCATTATAACTAAAAAGTTAAGATTAGACATCTTGATCATCAAAATTAACCACAAATCCATAATCTAATAATCGAAACAGACATCTTGATCATCAAAATTAACCACAAATCCATAATCTAATAATCGAAACTATCGTAAGAGTATGATTAATACGTATTCAGATATTTCGGATATGGATACAAATATTTCACTACAAAACCATATCCGTAACCATATCCTATCAGTTATAGATTTGAGTAACCATATTTGTATCCTAACGGATACGGTTACGAATATTTCCTCGGATACAGATACGGTTTAGTACCCCAACTTGTGACACCAAAAACCCTATCAAAACCCTATTTTGAAAGTCTCAAGACATATAACGCCATCTCAAGTGCTAATTATGTTTCTCATCACTATATAAACTGTCCTCTATGACTCTATACGAGCACTGAACATAATCCTCTCAAATCCATTTTTTTCCATCATGGGCTCTGAGGGATCCAGTCTCAAAATCCTCTTCTTTCCTTTCATGGCTCAAGGCCACATTCTCCCCATGGTGGACATGGCCAAGCTCTTCGCGGCCCGCGGCGTTCGGGCCACGATCCTCACCACTCCGGCCAACGCCCGTCTCGTCGGGCCATCCATCAAACGGCCCAATGAATTCGAATACAAATATCCTATCGAGCTTAGCTTGATACCGTACCCCTCGGCCGCAGTCGGCCTGCCCGAGGGGTGCGAGAACGTCTCCTCCCTCCCTCCGACTGAGACGTCGTGCGATGACTTTTTCGTCGGGTGCGCTATGATGAGGGACGCTTTTGACCGCGTCGTCAGGCGCCTGGCGCCCGACTGTGTGGTGACGGACATGTTCTTCCCATGGACGTGCGATGTTGCGTCGGAGCTTGGCGTACCGAGGCTCGTCTTCCACGGGTTCAGTCTCTTCGCGCTTTCGGTCTACGCTAGCCTAGGTTGTTACAAGGCCCTCAAAACCCTGCCCGCCGACGAGGAATCCTTCGTGATACCTGGGATTCCTCATCGGATTACGATGCTACGATCACAGGTGGCCGATTTCGGGACCTCGAAAGGCGAGATGGCGAAGGTCGTGAAGCAAATGAACGAGGCTGACGGAAAGGACTTCGGGGTCCTGGTGAACAGTTTTTACGAGCTGGAGCCCGACTATGTCGAGCACTATAGAAATGTCGTCGGGAGAAGGGCGTGGTGTATCGGCCCCTTATCGCTATGCAATAGCGACATCGTCGAAAAGTCTGGACGAGGAAACACAACCTCGGTAAGCCAAGATGGCTGCCTAAATTGGCTCGATGGCAAGAGTGCAGGGTCGGTCGTGTACGTTTGTTTCGGTAGCATGAGCAATTTCTCCAACGCCCAAATGCACGAGATTGCATCGGGCCTCGAGGCCTCAAATTATTCATTCATTTTGGTGGTGAGGAAAGACGGCGACGATTGGCTCCCCAATGGTTTCGAGGAGCGCGTCAAAGAAAAGGGTCTAATCATAAGAGGATGGGCGCCACAAATACTGATACTGAACCACACAGCAGTTGGAGGATTCCTGACGCATTGTGGATGGAATTCGAGCCTGGAAGGGATCAGTGCGGGCTTACCTTTGATCACATGGCCTCTTTTCGCCGAGCAATTTTATAACGAGAGATTGATCGTCTGCGTGTTGAAGATTGGGGTTTCGGTCGGAGTGACCGAGTATCGTGTGATACCGGAGGAAAGGCTGGTGGTTGGGGCAACGGAGATAGAAAAGGCCGTGAGTAGCGTAATGGGCGATGATGAGGAGGCGGAGGAGAGGAGGGAGAGAGCGAGGGAGCTCGGGGAGGCGGCGAAGAGGGCAGTGGATGAGGGAGGATCGTCTTACTCAGATTTGGACAGTCTGATTCAAGAGCTCATGGCTATGAAATAAGTGTGTCATTAAGAGGAAACGTGCTTGGTGTTCGTTAAGATTTAAGATATTTATGACAAATTAAGCTAATTCGAGTCTTTGACATTTATATGTAGAAGTTCCGAAATGGTTTGCTGATCTATTTGTGTGGCAAATGACTAAGGGATTATATTATGTTTACTAAGAAGAATGTGTCTTGCGTAATTATTAGTATATCTCATTAATCTCGAAGCAAAAAATGGATGAGAATGCTAATTTATATCACATACTCACCGTATAATATCCAGGAATTACGCATATCTATAATGTGTCACTATTAAAAATATTTTATAGAAATATTCTGACATTAACTTTATAATCCAATCTTAGATTCACATAATAAAACAAATTATATATTGCGTGGTGTTGTTGGTATCATATGCAATCATTCGTCCTGATGCATGATATATTACTTGTGTTCATGATTTTCTGCAAGTTCTGTCCAATAAGAAATGAAGTGGGAAATGTGGACGATGTAACTTGCGGCGATTGAATATATTGCCTTCGCCTCAAATTTGCATATGACCATGATTCAATTTTCCATTTTACTTTGAGTTTTATAATTAATGAATTCTATCATTATCTTACCAAATCTTCATTCAACTTCGCATATAAAACGAAAATGAACTGAGACAAGGGCAGCAGGACTATAGTAAGCAATTTTTGAGGTTTATAAGCACCGAAAGTTATCTTAATCTCAGAATACGGTTTCCTTAATTTGACCATTATAACAGTAAAGTATTTTTATTTAAATCAACGATAACTGGAATTTTATAAACTATAAACGTGGGGATTTTGAAGACTCCTAGAATTTGATGACGAAAAACGATGACGAACACTAAGCTTTTGTTTTTTAGCACAACAAAGTAGTTTAGGATTTGTAGTTTAATTAACATACTTAGTTTTATCCATTGAAAATTATTTATCCGTTGAAATTAAGTTTACAACAATTGCTTAGGGGTTGTCAGGTTTTCTCAAAACTTTCTGGGAATTAGATGCAACACATTTTATAATTTGAACTCTATATATTTATAGATCAAACATATTCTCTTTATATGCAACTGTAGTTATCAAACATTCCCTAATTAGCTTAATTTCTTTTGCCTCTAAAGACATATATTGACATGTAACTGTTAATAAATAGTGTATATAGACTATTTTGATCATAGAAAGATGAATTGATACAACTAAAATTATTTGGGGCAAACTAATTCATACCATAAGATTATTTGGTTCAAGACTCCGTTTTGATGTTCAAATTAATTGGGAAATTTATCGTTAAAAGCTCTCTAGATTTGCAAGGCACACGGCATTATTTGGATGTCATAGATTCAATGTGCATGCAAACTTTTGCTTGGAAGATGACTAAATATTTGAATTTTACTATTCTTAACTATTTTTGATAAACTTAATTAGTCAATATAAATCCTTGCCAATCCAAAATTATAACAAGGTTTGTGATTTATCTAATAGCTGTCTTCTCTTTGATTTTTTTTATGTTATTCTTTAAATTATCTACAAATATTTTAAAATAGATAAATTGCACTTAAATATCACAAAATTTCCTTGTTCTGCCACTTATATACCACAAATTGTATTTTGTAGCAGAAAAAAAAAATCTTAAGTTGCTAAAAAGATTTGTATGTTAGTGTGGGCGTCTAAAAATACCTATAGGTGTCCGCACGCAGCTCGAGGCGAAGAGAAGACGATGAGCGTCATCATCCGAGTCAAGAAGGATTATCCGATTGGTCGCTGCGCACATCAATCAGCTCGCGCATGTCAGTCAACGCACGCATGTCAGTCAACGCACGCACGTCAGTCAACGCGCGCTCGTCAGTCAGTTCGCGCTCGTCAGACAGCTCCAAGTGCCCGCCGCCCTTGTCAGTCAGCTCCAAGTGCCCGCCGCCCTTGTCAGTCAGCTCCAAGTTCCCGCCGTCTTGTAGGCAGCCCAAGTTAAGACCCGTGTCAGATCCAAAGTGCCCGACGCGCATATCGGTCGGTTCCAAGTGCCGTAAAGAAGCTAACGAGCCCATGAAGCAAGTTAACAAATTGCACAAGTCAACAAGATGATCAAATACGCAAAACGACAGAAAATACAAGTTCCAGAAAGTCGAGAAAACAATGAGAAATTCAGCAAAAGGCCAAACCCCCGCGCCGACCCGCGCGGACCGCGCCGACCCGCGCGGATCGGACCGCGCCGACCGGCGCCCCCTGCGGGTCAGCAACGCCCGTCGCGCAGATCTGAGCCCCAAACGCGTGTTTGACGGTTTTGAGCAGTTTTCTCAGGATTTATCTGTTCCTGGGGTTCCCAACTGCGCGCCGACCGGCGCCCCCTGCGGGTCAGCAACGCCCGTCGCGCAGATCTGAGCCCCAAACGCGTGTTTGACGGTTTTGAGCAGTTTTCTCAGGATTTATCTGTTCCTGGGGTTCCCAACTGACTTGGTATCATCCACAAACATGGTTAGACCGTTATTGACTGAAGATATGACCAAATCCATCATTCTTATCCGAAAACCTCCCAACCGAAGCCTATAAATACAGGCCTAGGGGTTCATTTCATGGAGAGGAGATGAAGAGGACGAAACGCTGCCGGATTAGAGAGTGGAGCCACAAATTTACAGCGAGGGTTAGCAGATCTTAGCGAGTTCCTGTGCATAAAGAGTGGAGTTCGAGAGATCTGAGACCTGTACCCTATTCCTCCGGATTTAAGCTTAGTCTTAATCTCGAGAAGAGCCGTAATCTCGCTTGGTCGAGATTATCGCTGCAGTGAATACTTTCTTCATGAAGTAGGAAGTATTTCAGCTATCCCAATGACACGAACTAATTCAAAAATCAACATGCCAGCTTCAGTTCAAGATTTTGATAACGATCAAGCGATAAACGCAACACTGGAAAAATTTCAGCTATCCGACAAAAAAAACTGAATAGACTAAACGTTGAAGAAGTCAACAAATTAACGACCAGACGTATCATATCCAAAATAGTCTAGCCTCTTTTATAAAAGAATGAGGCTCAAACACTTTGGAGGGGGTATCTGTAGGTAGGGGTGAGCACGGTTCGGTTCGGGTCGGTTTTTACCAAATTTTGAACAACCGAACCGAACCACCTACAATTCAAAACCGAACCGAACCATTGCAAATCGGTTCGGTGCGGTTCGGTTCGGTTTGTTCGGTTCTAACTTCATCAAGTATAACTTCACTTCAATTTATCTTTTATATATTCTTATTACCCTATGCCAGCATGTATTTATTTTTTAACTTCACTTCAATTTATTATTCTTGCTCATGTATGTATACTATTTTTAAGTGAAGTAACTTGTCCTTTTGGATTAAATACTAGACTCTGACGTTGTAATTTTTTAGTAACGGACTTGCTTTGTCTTTGGGTAAACAGGTAAACGGGTAGGGTTTGAGGCAAGGGAATATATTCGGTTGGTTCGGGTCGGGTCGGTTTGAAAAATTGTCAACCCGACCCGAACCGTCTTACTCATAAAACCGCTTTTTTCGGATCGGTTCGGGTCGGTTCGGTCGGTTTTTTCGGTTTGAACCGAACCGTGCTCACCCCTATCTGTAGGCATAAAAATTGCCTATAGGTTCTCGCACACAGCTTGAGATGAAGAAAAGACGATGAATGTTACTATCCGAGTCAAGAAGGATTATCTGAGTCAAAGAAGATCATCCGATACTGTAGAGAATCTAAAAAGTATATGAAGTAAGTCGGCGAAACGTACGAGTCTGTGAAACACGCTAAACGATAAAGGAACAACTCAACCGGAAGTTGTGCTTCGCCCACAAAAGGGCGAAGTACCATGTGTGTCTCGTCCACTCTATAAGTATCTCTCCTATGTAGAGCTCTTTGCAAGCTTTCCAATGCATCTTGGATCACCTCATTCCGAGATCGGACGAGGGAGTTAGAGCCAAAATATCCGAGACATCACAGACTGTCTCGGAAGTGCGAGGCAGTTACAACTGTCTCGGAATGCGAGACAGTTATAACTGTCTTAGAAATGCTAGCATATGGGAGGTTGTATATCTCTTCACAATATTTCCAACATATATTGGATCACCTCATTCCGAGATCGTACGTGGGAATTAGAGACAAAATACAACACATAGTTTCCGAGATACATGCAACTGTCTCGGAAACTACATGACAAGAACTGATATTTCAACCATGATGCAATTCAAATCTGAAGAATCTCAAAATATAAAAGTTGTAGATCTCTTCTTCATCTTTCCAACATATCTTGGATCACCTTATTCCGAGATCAGAAAAGTGAGTTAGAGACAAAATACAACACATAGTTTCCGAGACACATACAACTGTCTCGGAAACTACAAGACAAGAACTGAGATTTCGACCATTATTCGCATAGAATATGAAAAATCTTAAAAGATAAAAGTTATAGATTTCTTCACCATATTTCCAATGCATCTTGGATCACCTTATTATGAGATCAGACGAGGGAGTTAGAGCCAAAATACTCGAGACAGCACAAACTGTCTCGGAAGTACGAGACAGTTGCAACTATCTTGGAATACGAGACAGTTACAACTGTCTCGAAAATGCGAGACTATCTCATACACTGAGAAACTGAAAATATATTTTTTGTCAGTTTTCTTAAGTTTCGTGTGGTCCACACGGCTTATTAACTGCTGGGGATCACCTATGAACATGGGGGGAGCAGTTGCAAGGGAGAATCACGCCCATAACCGCAAAAATCATGGCATTTAAAGGTGGGAGAAGCGATTACAAAAAAAAGAGGAGGAAGGCTGAGCATTTTTGGAGCGGATCCAAAGAGCAGAGGCACAGATAGCAGACAGGCTATTAGTGGAGCAATTGGGCAGAGATTTGCAAAAGGTTTGGACGAATTTCAAGAGTTCATCTCCTTTCAACAATTCAGAGATTCCTTAAGATCTAAGCTTTGACTTGGTCTTGAGAAGAGTATTCATCTTACTTCGATAAGATATTCACTAAAACTATTCTTGCTTCTAAACGAAGGAAGAATCCTCAAAGCCTTCACGATTCAATCAGAATTCATGATTCGGTGGTCCACGGGCTAATGCACCCCCGGCACAGGCAAAGATCCCGTGCAAGCAGCGATCCAAACAACAATCCTGCATTTATTTCTAAGGAGCTTGTA